GGTGTGTGGCCTTATGACACATTTCCGGTGATGTCAGGGGGTGTGGCCTTATGACACATTTCCGGTGATGTCAGGGGGTGTGGCCTTATGACACACTTCCGGTGATGTCAGGGGGTGTGGCATATGCTAATGAGTTATGCTAATGAGTTCCCCTAGCTCTTTTTATACGAAATGACCCCTGGTTTCAGCCACTGACTCACCAGGTAGCCTTGAGCAGCCTCCCCCCCCCCAATCATCCTTAAAAGTCTCACCTCTCCTCCTGGGCTCTGAACCAATCCTTGTGATTTTGGCATCATGCAAATCCAAGTGACTGTCAACCAATCAGACACCATGAAACTCCCCTGAATGGGAGGGAGGGAGTCAGCCTCTGCTTAAGAAGGGTGAATGACCCCCCCCCCGCTGCCTTTGGACAGGGATTTTCTTGGCTTTGGAAACGTTTTTATTTAACTTTTATTTAGGCTTGGGGGGGGGTCAGCTTAGGGAAGAAAGCTTATTTTAGTGTGACAAATAAGCATCCTGTTAAAGGCCAGTCATTCCTAACTAGCATTTGTAGGTTCTGTGGAAAGGTGCTCTGTGAGGTAAAAGAGCAACTTTGAACCTGCTGAGGTAACCTGACAAGAAAGTGGACATTTTGTGAAGAAAGAGAGCCAGTTTTACTGTATATGCTGTACTCATCCTGAGGTAGTTTAACAGATTTTATATGTTTTATAGAGGTTGGATTTTTTATCATGTGTTATGCACAAACTCTCTGAGAGTGTTTGATATTGTGCAGGCCTATGGCCACATACATTAAAATGATTCTGATTTTGTACTCATCCACACATAATATTCACCTCATTGAATACGTTATTTCCTGTTAAATAAATCTTTGTTTGTATCTTGTTTGTTGAGTCAAATGTCGAAGGAAAAGAGGTCTCTCTTTGGTGGTGGGAAATGCCGTCAAGTTACAGCTGACTTATGGTGACCCCGTGCGGTTTTCAAGGCAAGAGACGTTCAGAAGTGGCTTGCCATGGCATTCCTTGGAGGTCTCTCATCTAACTATTTACCTCGCACAAGTACAACCTTGGTGTAGCAGGTTTCCAAAGAAGAGACCTTTAGGGAACGCATTGCTTACACACTACCGATCCTTTATTCAAAGCTTGTGTTCCCCCGTTTATTTGATTGTGGGTGGCTTGGGTTTAAAGAACCTATAGGAGAAGCCAGGGTGGGGGACTGGGCATTCTTCAGTCCAGTAGGTAGCTGCCCACTTCACATCTGCCACACCTTCTCTCAGCCTCAGTTCCCCTGGCTGTCTTATAGAGGATAACAAGAGGGGGACCCGTGATACTCGCGGGGGGGGGAGAAGAGCTCCGTCTCCTCCATCCCCCCCTCGATCTCCCTGAGGCAGCGGCGGCGGCGAGGCCGGTCTCCCCCCCTGCCCAGCCTGCCGGCCTGCTGGCGGCTCCGAGAAGGAGGAGGCGGCGGCGGCAAGGCCGGTCCTCCTCCCCCCGCCCACCCGTGAGGAGAAGGCGGCAGTGGCGGCGAAGGCGGTCCTTCCCCCCGCCCTTTTAGGAGGCGGCGGCGGCGAAGCCGGTCCTTTCCCGCCCGCCTGCCCGGCTGGCTGGCTCACTCCGAGGAGGAGGAGGCGGCGGCGGCACAGCGGCGAGGCCTGCTACAGAGCGTTCCCTGCGCATGCGCAGGGGACGCTCTGTCACTTTCGGGGGGATTTAAACATCCCCCCGAAATTTTTTCAACTTTTTTATTTTTGTGCACATGTGGGGACTGGCCCACGTGTGCACAAATCTCCCCCGGCCCCCCAGCTGCCCCCGGAGCGCTGATTTAGCGATCCGCACTCCGGGGGCAACTTGGCTATTAGATATATAGATGATCCTGGCCTACTTAACAAGAATGCTGAAACGATTCCTGTGATCATCTAATCTTATATTAACCAAAGCTTTTATTATCATGATACTATCCAGATGTTGACATATTTTAGGAGACTTTCTTTCTTTCTTGAGCATTTGCTAATACTTGTGAGTCCTGTCTTTCTTCTATCATAGAGCATACTTAGATGTCAAAGAACTCAAGAATATCCTCAATCTGAATGGGTCGACGCATCTCAACATCTTCTTTGCTAACTCCTCTGAAGAAGAGCTGGCTGGTGTGGCCACCTGGCCCTGGGACAAAGAAGCTTTACTACACTTAGGTGAGTTTGATGCGGAGTGCTGGCTCCAAGTTCTTGGGTGAGGTGGCTGGGTAAAATGGTTTCTGTTAAGTCCCAGTGATGCATACTGTACCCTCAAAAAGATGTGTGTGCACATCTCCTGGAAGAGGGAGTGGTGCATGATCCTTTCATTTTCCTTGTGTTGGCAGGCAGAGTTTAAACATGCAAAGGAATGGAGCACCAACTATTTAAAGAAAACAACTCAGCTTATTAAAGAAGAAATAAATTCTGATAGAACAGAGAAGAGGCACAGAGGCTTAACTGCTGTGAGAGACAGGAGCAAAGGGGGAGGGCTCAGTTGGAGCAGGAAGTCTCCAAAGAGCCAGTGTGGAGACAGGAAGCACATAATTTGAAATTGTGGGAAGTCCCTAATCTAGCTGTGCTGACTAGCAGTCCTCCAGCTGTCCCCTATAGGCTGTTCTTCTGATCTTTTTCAAGTAGGTGCACTATAGACTTTGTATATTTGAACAACTTGTAACCCTATTGGTGTCAGAAAGCCTTCCCACCATCATCGCATTAGACTGGACCGCTTGAAGGCATTCCACTCCAGTCACAGCACGAAACAGGAGATTGCTCCAGGGGCTACAATAGCATCACAGTCCCCTTTTGGGATGATCTCCCATGCTCAAATACTTTGGCCACCAAATGAGAAGAGAGCACTCACTGGAGAAGACCCTGTTGCTGGGAAAGATTGAAGGTCAAAGAAGACAGGGACAGCAAAGGATGAGATGGTTAGACAGTGTCATAGATGCAACGAAGATGAAGTTGAGCAAACTTCAGAGGACGGCAGAAGACCAGAAGGCCTGGCGTGATCTGGTCCATGGGGTCGCGAAGAGTCGGACTCGAATGTGTGACTGAACAACAACAAAACCCATGCTCTGGATGGGCCACACATTTCTGGTGGATAGTGGACCCACTCCTAGGCTGTGGGTTATGAGGAATGCCCTGCTGTGGAAAACCATGACACCACCCCCGCTCAAGTATGAAAGCTTCCTCCTTTGACTCATCCTTGTAGTGAAGAAGGGAAGGCTTGCAAAGATTAACCTTAAATCTGATCTCTTATCGTTCCAGTAACAGTCTTAAATAGCCAGGGGGATTTAGAAAGAAAAACAAAATACAAAAATATTCACCATTCCCTGTTCCCTGGCTTGCAACCAGGAAAATATTAGATTATAAACCCAAAAGTATATTACAGTATTTATCAAATGATGTCAGCCTGAAAATATTTCACCTTTTTTCAAGTCAAGCTACTTTGTAGGGCATCTTCTCCATGTGTGCAATTTGCAAAAGAGTTAGAGAGGGAAGCAAGTTCACGACACAAGGGGGGAGGGATGCTGAACAGTGATATATTAACCTGCACTTGTTGCTTAGCATGTATGCAACTAATCACCTTGTCCAAACTGGATGCTCCATAGGAGTCCCATTATTTCCGGCTGTGATCTAATGGTAGGCAATCGTGTTTGGAGGGTGGATGGTTTAAAGTCATTTGGTGCTATGCATCAAGGTCAAGGTGAAGAGGCAGGTGATTGTACATTGAAGGTATGTTCTCCAACTCATGTCTTTAAGTCAGTACCTTAACCTGGATCCTGTAGTGAAGCAGTCAGCATATCTAGTGTCTGTTGACCAAATAATGAGGTCAGGCTCCTAACAGCTTGGCCAGTCTGAAGCTTTCATGCTACCTTCATATCACAGGGGCCAATGTTTCACACTCTCCTATTCCTCTCTGTGGCTAAAGAGTGCTCTGAGATTTGAGCATGTACATTGAAGCCCATGATCGTGCACTAGGTCCCAGTCACACACCTTGAAGTTCCCTGTTCAAGCTTCAGAGTCCCAGGTACTGAAAGACATGCCTGGGTTTGTGTATGTAAGCAAACTGGCTGATGGCTTCTCCAGGTGTCTGCTTGAAGTAGCTCCTGACAAAGATAGAAAGAATAGCAATAAAATAAATGCACAGTAAAGCATCATGGGCCACTGGAGAGGCAGTGTGGTGTAGTGGATAGAGTGGCAGACCAGGATCCCAGGCAATCCGCATTTGAATCTCCACATCTACTATGGAAACTCTCTAGGTGACCTTGGACCTGTCACAAACTCTCAGCCTGGCCTCTCTCAAAGGGTTGTTGCTGGAGAAAATGGAGGGTGGGAGAATGATGTTCTAAAAGCCACTTTGAGTCACAACTGGGGAGAAAAGCAGTATATAAATAAGTAAATGCAGTTTTTAAACAATATAAAATATCAGAAAAATCAGACTGGTGTGTACCAGATAAAAGATGTGAAACCAGGTAGTCTATGAAGAAGCATAACACAGTTTCCAAAATTATCCTCATCCAAATTTCTTCTGGGATTTTCTACTTACAAAGTGCCCGATCTTGGCTGCGATCACACACACTAAATAATCGACTTTCGATCCAGTTTCAAACTGGATTTTTACTGTGCAAACTGGCAAAATCCAGATGGAAAGTGCATTGAAAGAGGATTGTTTAGCATGTGTGACTGCTGCCTTGTTTGTTTGTTTTTTAATAAAACTGATGTGTCAGGAAACTGTTCAGTTTTTTCCCATTCCAAATGGAATGTTTTATTTGTGCCAGTTTGCCCTACCTGTAGCAAAAGGAATATTAGTATATCTTAGTCAGGTGTGAATGAGAAAAGAATTCTGCAACACTATGTAGATTAAGTTAATATAATTAATTACACCACAGGCTATATGTAACTGCACTTTCCTGTGGCCCAGTCTTCCTGTGCTTCCTGCTAAAGTTCCAGCTTTTGTTTTTTGAAGTGCCTTTCTTGCTGTCATAAATCCACAGATAATTTGAAAATGAGACTGCAAAAGAATAAATAAACTAAGCAAAGGACTGAGAAGATTTATGAACAAAAGGTGGCCTGTGATTTTCCAGTGCTACCAAGCCAAGTGTCAGCCATGCACAGAAAACAAAGAGCTGCTTGCTCATCTACATGGAGGAAGGATGGGAACATACTGAATGCAAGGAATGCTTTCAAAATTCTCCTTGTCCACATTTTCCCTTAGATTTTGGAGTCCCAAATTACTTGCTCTTGCTGAAAGCAGTATATTCAGAATATTCTATGTTTTCTGATACTTATTTTCAAATTTTGGATAGAGTGTTGTGGAAGTAATGTTCCCCCTCCTATCATGCACAGGGAGGAAGAGGAGAAGGCATCCATTGCAGGTATTGAGGAGGACCCGGTCCTTTGGAGGAGAGCTCCAGTCTCCAGGAATAGAATGGAGTGAAGAAGTTGTGTTCATAAGAACATAAGAGAAGCAAATGTTGGATCAGGCCAATGGCTCATCCAGTCCAACACTCTGTTACACAGTGGCCAAAAATACCAGGTGCCATCAGGAGGTCCACCAGTGGGGCCAGGACACTAGAAGCCCTCCCATTGTGTCCCCCCCCCCTCCAAGCACCAAGAATACAGTGCATCACTTGCCCCAGACTGAAAGTTCCTATCTATACTTTGTGGCTAATATCCACTGATGGACCTCTGCTCAGTATGCTTATCTAATTCCCTCTTGAAGCCGTCCAGGCTTGTAGCCACCACCACCTCCTGTGGCAGTGAATTCCATGTGTTAATCACTCTTTGGGTGAAGAAGTACTTCCGTTTATCTGTTCTAACCAGACCGCTCAGCAATTTTATTGAGTGCCCACGAGTTCTTGTATTGTGAGAAAGGGAGAAAAGCACTTCTTTCTCTACCTGCTCTATCCCATGCATAATCTTGTAAACCTCAATCATGTCACCCCTCAGTCTTTGTTTCTCCAAGCTAAAGAGCCCCAAGCGCTTTAACCTTTCTTCACAGGGAAAGCCAGTTTGGTGTAGTGGTTAAGTGTGCGGACTCTAATCTGGGAGAACCGGGTTTGATTCCCCACTCCTCCACTTGCACCTGCTGATGTGACCTTGGGTCAGTCACAAGCTCTGGCACAGCTGTCCTTGAAAAAGCTTCTTCTTCTTCTTCTTCTTCTTCTTCTTCTTCTTCTTCTTCTTCTTCTTCTTCTTCTTCTTCTTCTTTTTCTTCTTCTTCTTCCAACCCTTTTATCATTCGAGTTGCCCTTTTCTGCACTTTTTCCAATGCTATAATATCATTTTTGAGGTGTGGTGACCAGAACTGTACACAGTATTCCAAATGAGGTCGCACCATTGATTTATATAGGGGGCATTATGATATTGGCTGATCTGTTTTCAATACCCTTCCTAATAATCCCCAGCATGGCGTTGGGCTTTTTTATTGCAGTCGCACACTGTTTCGACATTTTCAGTGAGTTATCTACTATAACTCCAAGATCTCTCTCTTGGTCAGTCTCTGCCAGTTTGGACCCCATCAACGTGTATTTATAGTTAGGATTTTTGGCCTCAATGTGCATCACTTTGCACTTGGCCACACTGAACCCCATTTGCCACACTGACACCCACTTGCCCATCCTCACCAGATCCCTTTGGAGTCCCTCACAATGCTCCCTGGTTTTCACCACCCTGAACAATTTAGTGTCATCTGCAAATTTAGCCACTTCACTGCTTACTTCCAACTCCAAATCATTAATGAACAAGTTAAAAAAGCATCGGACTCAGTACTGATCCCTGCGGTACCCCACTGCTTACCACCCTCCACTGAGAAAATTGACCATTTATACACACTCTCTGTTTCCTATTAATTAGCCAGTTTTTGATCCACAAGAGGACTTGTCCTTTTATCCCATGACTATTGAGTTTAGTTAGGAGCGTTTGATGAGGAACTTTATCAAAAACTTTCTGGAAGTCAAGGTAAACAACATCTATTGGACCCTTGTCCACATGTTTGTTCACTCCCTCAAAGAAAACTAACAAGTTAGTGAGACAAGATCTTCCCTTACAGAACCCATGCTGAGTCTTCCTCAGTAGTTTTTGTTCATCAATGTGCCTACTAATTCTTTCCTTAATAACAGTTTCCACCAACTTACCTGGTATTGATGTCAGACTGACTGGCCTGTAATTCCCCA